AGCAATTACGAATGAAACAACTAAACGACTTGTTTAGTGTCCCCGAGATTTGTCTGCTCTCTAATGTGACCGACTATTTCAATAGGAATCACATCACGTATTCTCCAGAGATTCTCTTTAATGACACGCAGGTATTAATCAACTGATCCCAAGACAGACAAACAACATAATTGCTATTAATATTATATATTCCTAATGTATATCTAGAACGCCGTTCAGAGTATTCATCCATTGATGCATAAAATGATTGACGAGAATTTGATCCATAAATATCTGGATAAACATAATTCTCTCAACCCTTTTCTCCATAGACTTAAAGATAATAATAAGAAGATGTTTCTCATAACCAACAGTCCCTTCAAATTTGTGTAAATTAATTGTTATTCAACTTTAAACAAAACTTTTAAATATTTGGATTTATTATTGTGTAGTGATATTGGGATGAAATATATGATTGGAAAAGATTGGAACCAATTATTTGATGTGATTATAGCAAAAGCAGGAAAACCTAAATTTTTTAATTTAAAACGAAGGTAAATATATCTGTAAAGTGTTTCCAGAGATGACAACCATTTGATCCATTTGTCAGACCGTTCAGACACTATGATATAGAAAGTGATTGTCAGAAATGGGAGAAAGTGTCGACTCTGGAGAGGGGGAACATCTATATGGAGGGAACTGTTCATCAGTTGCTTGAGATGACGGGATGGAAAGGCAACTCAATTCTATACTTCGGAGACCAGATTTACAGTGATTTGGCAGACATTACGTTGAACTTCGGGTGGAGAACCGGCGCTATTATCGTTGAACTCGAAGTATATTCATAACCACTCACTTCAGACACGTTTGCAAACTAATTGAATTGATTTGTATTTCAGAGAGAAATCAAAACTTTTAATTCGGAGGACTTTAGAGAAGCTGTCAGTGCTTTACAGGCCTTACAACTACTTATCGACGAATCGCACAAAACTAATGACAATCATCTGTTGGATCAATTGATCCAACAAAGAGACGCTCTCAGGTATTGATGCGTTTCTTATGATAATTATAAATGAGATAATGATATGAATANTGATTTTATGCAATTCTAGTGATTATTAACTCATTTTTATAGATTTTATTATTAAATGCACATTAGATTTGAGACATAAAAATGTCATTCAATTATAATAATAACATCCAATGTATGAATAAATTTGTTAAATACCTTTCAAATGCAATAAAAACCACAATTAATGGTCAATGACTTGAATTTATTTATAAAAACATACAATTTATTAATTGAATGCAATATATTTGTGAACAAACTTTTGGCAAACAATCGATGTTTAAGAATATAAAGAGACAATAAAATTGAAAAATAGATTTCTAGTCAATTAGATTTTAAGTGGAAAATCAGTGGCAAGTCTTCGTGTGTCGGACCTATTGTTCTCCATTTGATTTAAGCGATTGACTGATTCTGAGTGTCTTCTGGAGGACGTGAGCGTCCGCGGGCTCTATCCTCTTATAGTAATGCTCTTTGGTTTCGACGATCTCGAAGCCGAACCTCTTGTAGAAGTCGATGGCGCCCTCATTGTTCACCTGCACGTGAAGAAAGATACTGTCCAGCGATCCGTCCTTTTCCACGATCTGCAGCACGTGTTCAACCATTTCGGAACCGATGCCCAGACGTCTATAGGGCGCCAAACAGCCCAATGTCATGATATACAGGCGCCGACTGTTCTCCGAGGTGTCGATCCGACAGCAAACGGCGCCGACAACGATGTCGTTGTAATACGCTTTCAACGCAAACACAAAACATACAGTCATTGTCTTAATCAATGGTCAACTGACGAACTCGAGGAATACATACCGAGTTTGGCCAACTCTCCCGCCTCTAACACGTCTTTGTAGAACTTGTCGTTATAACTGACCGGAAATATCACTTGATTCAGACGCCGAAGAAGTTTGATATTATGCGGCGTCACGTCTCCCAACTCTATGCGACCAACTCTTCAGGCGGTGGACATCGAAAAGGAGATCATAACGTAAGACATTGTCGGCGATGTGTTTGACAACAAAAACTCACTTAATTTTGTTGATTCTGGTCCTAAACCTCATGTCGTTTTGGTCCTCTTTGATGAACATCTCGTTGTTCTGGATGTCGATCAATGCGGGCGAACTCGTGAGCGCCATATTTGAAGCACCGATTAGTGAAATGAGACAATCAATGGATGAGACAATCGCTTGAATACACAGTCTTGAGGGCAGATGTAATGCAATACTCAATGCAAAGCATTTGCGCATAAATTCAATGCAAAAAAGGCTCACATTTTGGACACAAATGACGTGAAGAATGAATGAATGGATTGAGTGCTGAACACGTGTAGTGATTGACTCAACTCACAGTCGATGTCAACAAAAACAGTATTGTTTTGACATTTGGTTTCATTCCTCTTAGAAATCAGTGGAGAAAAGCATTGATTGTGATAATAATGGCCGACGAGAAGACTAAGAAGACTTTGAGTTCTATACCACTCATGAAGACTAAGTCCGGTCCACGAGATAAGGACTTATGGCCTCAAAGACTCAAAGAGGAGTACCAGTCGTTGATTCAGGTTTGGGATTCATTTGTCAATTGATTAAAATACTAACCATTGAATGGATGTGTTGTCTCATTGATTGAACAGTATGTGCAACAAAACAAGGATAACGACAACGATTGGTTCCGATTGGAGTCCAACAAAGACGGCACCAAATGGTTTGGCAAGTGTTGGTTCATTCATGAGCTCATCAAATATGAGTTCGACATTGAGTTCGATGTAAACAATGCAAACATTATCAGTAAACTTGTCTTTCATTGTATGGGCTTTTGTAGACCTCAACCAACTTTGCCCTTACAGTGAGACGAGTTATACTTCATTAACCATTAATACAAAATCTATACTTAGATTCCGGTCACGTATCCGACGACAGCCCCTGAGATAGCGATTCCCGAATTGGACGGTAAGACAGCGAAGATGTATAGGGGAGGGAAGATCTGTACGAGCGATCACTTTAAGCCTCTGTGGGCCAGAAATGTGCCCAAATTCGGTATCTCTCACGCCATGGCTTTGGGGGTAAATCTATTGATTGATTTGAAATATGAATAACACTAATAATGAACTAAATATATGTACAGTTGGGTCCGTGGCTGGCGGTGGAAGTGCCGGATCTCATCATCAAAGGTTTGGTCAAAGAGAAACAGCATCAATGACTTCCATAATTAGCACAAAGATTTATATATTTGTTTGGTTTTTTAATAAATGTGTTTTTTTGTTACGATTTATTTGTTACATAATTGTATGCACTTTTCAGGTATGTTATTGATTTTTGTCGGCCCAACAGTTCAATGGTTTCGCCAATCGGTGAACCACTCTATTAAGCGATTCAAATAAAAATCAATATATTTTTTAATGATTTTGTAAGTCATATGAAATACCTCTAAATTAGTCAAAGAATATCTCAAAAGTTTCATAAACATTTTGAAAGTCATGAGATCTGAATGTTTATCATCGAAATGATTGCGAATCACTTGATAAATGTGTTTAGCGTCGAATTGCACCTCGCTCATTGTGTCAAACACGTCAATCATTGATTTCAATATTATTTCTATAGAGAAAGCTTTGATTCAATTAATTGCAAACAATATAATTAGTCATTCGAACCGATGTCCTCTTTATTGCCGATATCATTGACTTTCCACTTGAAATCCGGAACTTTCCATAAATATAAGAATTCTTCGCTCAAAAGATCTTTTAAAGTATAGACTCT